CACAAGCACAAGAATCCATAAGTGGCACAAATGGTTACATGTTTGACCACCAACCACAGTTAAAATTTACACAGAGGACCAGGACAGATCTTAGAGTAGACTATGAAAACTGAACTAGAGTAACAAGAATCCAAAACAAAATGATGAAATGCCAAAGTCAAAGAGATGAACTGATTTCAAAGGGCAGCTGGAGGGACGGAGTAACATATTACAATACAATGTGCAAGAGATGGTGTTAGAGAATAAAAGGAAAGAAGCCACTCAGCATTTCTAAAGTTGAAAGAACTTAAAAACAAATTCAAGCCATGTGTTGCAATAATACGCGATACTATTGGCAAAATCTTGAATGAAGTCCAGGAAGCAACAAAGAAGATGGAAAGAATACATTGAATCATTGTACCAAAGAGAACTGGTTGACACTCAAAAACTTCAGGAAGTATCACAAAATCAAGAATCAATGGTAATGAAAGAAGAAGTTCAAGCTGTAGTGAAGGCACTGGGGGCCGGGAGTGGGGGTGGGGTGGAAGTCCCAGAAATCAACAGAATAACAATTGACATATTTCAACTGACAGATGCAGGCCTGCACACGCTCAGAAATACACTCCAGAAAATTTAGAGAACAGCTGCTTAGCTGACTGACTGAAAGAGATCTATATTTGTTCATATTCCCAAGACAGGTAATCCATCGAATGTGGAAATTATCGACCAATATCATTAAATCACATAGAGCAAAATATTGCTTAAAATTATAAAAAATGACTAGCACAGTTCGTTAACAAAGAACTGGGAAATTCAAACTGAGAAATTTAAACTGTGTTTAGAAGAGGTCATGAGACCAGGTATATAATTGTTGATGTCAGAAGGATCCTGAATGAAAGCAGAGAATACCAGAAGAATGTCTATTTGTGTTTTATTGACTATGCAAAAGATATTTGACTGAGTGTTTTATAACAAACTTTGGCTAAGCTTGAGAAGGATGGGAATCCCAGAACACTTAATTATGCTCATATGAAACCTATATCTAAACCAAGATGCTGTTTTCTGACCAGAGCAAGCAAACACTGTATGCATGGTTTAAAGTCTGGAAAGGTGTGTGCCAGGGTTGTATCCTTTCTCTATACCTATTCAATCTGCACACTCACGAAATCAGGATTGGAGGAAGACTCATGAATAACCTGCATTATACAGATGACACAACTTTGCTTAATGACAGTGAGGAAGACCTGAAATTCTTGCTTTGGAAGATCAACGATTACAACCTGTAATATGAATTGCATCTCAACATCAAGACAAAAATCCTCACTTCTGGACAAATAAGTAACATCATGACAGAGAAAAAAAAGATTAATTCTTTCATCCTGCTTGGATCCTGTGGTACCTACAGTCATAGTATCAGGAGACATGTTGCATTGGTCAAGTCTGCTGGCAGGGATCTCTCCAAAGCACTGAGGAGCAATCAATGATGCTAATTTGAAGCCCAAGATGTGCGTGAATTGGGCCATGGCCTCTTTCATTACTTGCTATGCATCTGGGTTACAGACAATGAGTAAAGATGACAGAAGAACTGATGCCTTTGATCTGTAGTGTTGGAGAAAAATACTGAATGTCCTATGGATTTTCAAAAGAACAAACAGGCCTTGGGAAAAGTGCAGCCAAATGCTGCTTGGAGGCAAAGATCCTCATGCTTCTTACCACTTATTTTGGGCATGTTGCTTGGAGAGGTTATTCTTTGCAAAGGGACATCATACTTGAAAAAGTGGAGGGTTATCAAAAAGGGACAGAGTAGGACTGTCTAATACAGCTTCCAAAACTATAAATCTTCACAAAAACAGATTGGCTCACCTTTCTCCCTCACAGCCATTGGTAGGTTCAAATCACTGAGCTTTTAGCTAACCAATGAGCATGTAACCACAATGGTTGTGGTTGTTGTTATGTGCCATTGAGTCGCTTGCGACTCATAGCGACCCTATGTACAACAGCCCTAAACTCTGTTCTGTCCTGTGCCAATCACACTGTCTCCGATACTCCCATCCCAATTGCCCCAGTCACTGATCAATCCATCTCATAGAGGGTCTTCCCCTCCTGCGCTGTCCCTCCACCCTCCCAAGCATGATGTCCTCCAAGAACCAGTTTCTCCTTATAACATGACCAAAGTATGTTAGACGGAGCCTCAGAATCCTTGCCTCCCAGAAGCAACCCGATTTAACCGTCTCCAGGATGAATCTGTTTGTTTCCCTAGCAGTCCATGGTACCCTCAATATTCTTCTCCAGCACCACAGCTTAAAGGCATCAATTCTCCTCCTATCCGCCCTAGTCATTGTCCAACTCTCTGATGGGACTCTTAGGAAGGGCAGAAAGAAAGCTTCACAGGTGAAAAAGCAAGGCAGCACAACAGAGATGAAAATCCCCACCCACACAGGTAACAGTAGAGTATCCCCAAGGCTGAGCTATGTACAACCACTATGGTACTAAGGGCTAAACACTCATATACGTAATTTTACCAGACTTATTATAATACATTTCATTGTCTTTTTTAAAGGCCATTAAAAATTAAAAATGTCCAGGTTGTATAGCACAGTTCCAAAATATGTTAAAGAGAACAAATCAATATTAAAAACAACCCAAACATACCTTTTAAAATAACCCTGGTGGACCTCATCTGCCACTCATTATAAGATATGAATGAACGAAAAAAAAAAAAAGATATGAATGAACGAAATTATTTCCCAGTAAAGGGAGGAAAAATAAACTGTGAACCATCTATAATTTTTGCCCAACATCAAGACAATAGCTGAGTGTCTATAACAATCTGTCAGTAAGTAGTCAATAATTTAGCAGACTCGATTTTTCGGTGAGGATTTAAGTCTTTGTGTACAGAACTGTGGTGGCTTAGTGCTAAAGATTTGGGCTGCCAATCAAAAGCCTTGTCATTAGAATTCACTAACTGCTCCATGGAAGAAAGATGGGTAATCTCCTCTCACGTGATTTACTGAACACCTGCTGGAGGGTCAGCTATGAGTCAGTTCTATCTTGAAGGTATATAACAACAGCACTTGCTTGAGTTTCATAAAAAGTGTTACACAAAATCTCTATCAGAAACATTCCCAGTACTTATAAGCTCATGGTCACTGAGACATTAAAAAGAGAAAAATGTGCTATTATTAAGAAAAATAGGGAGTTCTGGTGGCCTAGTGGTAAGAATATGCACGGCAGTCCCAAAGGCATGTGATTTGTATCCACCAACTGCTCTTTGGAAAAAGGATAGGCAATCTCCTCCAGTGCAATCAATTGCCTCTGAAAATCCACTGAAGGGTCAGCTATGGGTCGCTTTCAATTCAATAGCAAACAACAACAGCATTAAGGCAAACAGGTGTGAGCTCTGGTGGACCAGCGGTAAGCACCTGCACTGCAATCCAAAAGGCACATGGGTTGAACCCAGTAGCTGTTCTATAGGAGAAGTGTGGGAAGGCTCCTCCAGGCATTTACTCCCTCTGAAAACCTGCTGGAGGGTCAGCTATGAGTCACTTCTGACTCGATAGCACACAACAACCACCACATTAAGACAAAAACAGTCTTGAGTATTAAGCATTGAGTTGCTAACCAGAAGGCTCGCAGTTCCAATCCATCATTCACTCAACAGCAGATAGATACCTCGACCATACAGAACAGTTCTTTTCCGACCTCCAGAGTTCCTTAAAGATTTACAGCCCCACAGAGTGGTTCTCCTAGGTCCCATCAGACTGTCATGACTTCAAATTAGCTCAATGGCAAGTGGGCTTGTTTTAGTTTGGTTTGAGTATTAAGGCTGAACAATTTAATTCGTTTAGTCTTAACTTCTTAACTCGTGTGAAACAAATGATCTTTAATACAGTAAAACTTACGATGGAATAATATGCAGCATCCAGAAGTAACGATTTTGAAAAATTACTACAAGACATGGAGAAGGCTAGAGAGTATTATGCTGAGTGAACTAACCTTGTAAGGACAAATACTGCAAAGTCCATTGTTATAAAACCAGAAGGACATCTACTAAAATGTGTATAAATGTCTGAAGAGAATGGGGAAGGGGGAGGGGATGGGATAACGCAGAGGAAAGGGGAAATCATCAGAAAAAGAAATAATGCATATGAATATATAGTACAAGGTACGTTAAAGAAACACAATACATATGAATAATTATATAAAAAACAAAGTACATGTACAAAAACACCCAACAAAACATTAAAGAAATATTCTAGATAAAGTTAGGGGGGAAAATTATTGTTGTTTCCTTAAAGGAGTCTATGTAACTATACAGACACTCACAACAGACATAAAATGTAGCTGGCAGTATATCAAACAAGTTATAGTTGGCAGATAAGATACTATAAACATTATAGGCAAAGGATGAAACGTTACAGGGTAGTGCCACTCAGTGATGATTTGGTACAGATCCTAGGCCTCCTTCTCCAAGGCATTAACCATTGAGTCAGATTTTATCATCTTACCCAAAGATCATTTCATTGTCAAGACAACAAAGAGATGAAAAGAGAAAGATGAGGAAACAAGTTACATTCAAACTGGTCTGAGGCAGAGATCTGAATAGAAAATTTACCTAGACAAGGCCAAGTTCAACTGTCCACTTCTGAATGGACAATCGACATCACTCTAAATTATGAAAAGTGCAGCTGTCTGCCAACCATGAATTCCCACCAGCTGTTCTCCAATCAGTTCCCAGAAATCTTTTCCCCTCAGAGAGCAAGCTACTAAAGTCCCCTTCTTGAAGAGCTGTTCAAGATTATCTGGATGTGTCCAATGGAGGACACAGGGTTACTCATTCCCAGCCTGCCTCCCACCTGCCTGGCACCTGCCTGGCACCTGTCTCTTCTCCAGGTTTCCACCAAGAGGAGAAGCACATCTTCAGCGTTCTATCCAAACAGCTGGTCCAGCATCTTCTACCCCCAGCTATTTGCACTCTTAGAATCAGAAAATGGAACAAGTTGCTTTTGACACACTATTACCTTGAATACTTCTCTTGAAGAAGGCCTTACAGCCTTCACAGGACCAGACTCCATAATGGTAGCCTGATGCATAGTCATTGCACACGGCACAGTAGCGAGTCTCCTTTGCAGATTCCATGGCCATGCTCCCCTTGTCACCAGCACTAGCCAATCTCTCTCTGCCACCCTGGCGCCGGTTATCTGAATTTGGCCTGGAAAAAAAGTAGAAGAAAAAAACAAAACAACAAAAAAAAAAGAACAAAAAAAAAAGTGAATCCATTAACATTCAAAAAGCAAAACACTGCATTCTCCTCTAAAGAATAAGAGGCTTGGGAGATGAGGCAGGTCCACTTTATTCTGACATTTTGAAATAATGAATCATAATGTAAGCTAATCTTTCATTACCTCTTGCCACCTTCTGCAACAAAAAGTGTTTGCCTATTCTATTCACCTTGAGGGAAAATTGTTTATTGCAAACTTGTTTGAAAATCAGACTCCCCACACCAGAATACATTAGCCCAAATGTATTCAATGACAAAATGAAATTAGTTGGTTTCTAACAGATTTGTTCATTTTCTCAGAGCTTCACAATTAACGCAGAAACAGTAGAGACCGGTGCTTATTCTGATTCTAGATCGTACTACAGGTCTTTGGGAGGAAGACAAAGATGGAAACAGCTGGAGCATTTAAAACTCAGATGAACTGATGGAAGATGTCGGGTGAGTATAGAAAAAGAACAAGTCTATTTTTTATGCTGCTGCTATTCAGTAGCCCTAGAGCTTTTATCGCTTTATGCTATAATCAGAGGGCACAATTCTTTCATTTTCAATACTCTTTTTTTTTAAGAACATGCAGAAAGACAAGCACTGAGGGGCACAGATGGTGACACCAACTTTTAAAGATTGCACAGAGGAAGCACAGCCCAAAAATTCATTCTGAGACTGAATAGTAAGACAGTTCCAGAAGAACCAAGAATATTGGTGAAAATAAAAGTTTAAGGAAGTAGATTTTGTGAAGAAGGTGAGAGTAACTGGTAGCATTAAATGGGCTAGAGAGATGCACAAGCCCAAGGCTGATAAAATACAGCAGAGTTTTGCAAAGAGACACACAGCAAGCCTTCTCAGCGAAGAAGGTTAGCTACAAGCAAAAACTCAAAAGAGCAAACAGAAAAGAAAAAGAGTGAAATTCATTTCACTGAGAAGTTAGATGAGAATGATTTAAAAAAAGAGAATACTAGCTAACGAGGAGTGTAAAGGCCAGTGGAGAACTTTATTTAGGATGGAAGAGAGTCAAGGAGACAGAGAATGATTAGTGACGCAGAGTGTAGAAGGGGATACATTTGGAGCGAGATCGGGAAGAAGACTAGAGCAGGCGAGAGTAAAGACAGAGAGGGGACAGCAAAGACAAAGAGAACCGGAGCACGAGTGGACGAAAAGGACTCAGGAAAGGCACAGACTCAAATCAGTTTGTTCCTTATTCATGAGGCATGGGATCAGCAAGGTATGGGATTTTGCTAGGCACATGCAATCATATAGAGGAGGTGCATGAGAGTTAAAAGGAGCTCGGGGGGGAAACACATAGCACATTGCACTGCAAACCAAAAGGTCAGAGGTTCGAACCCACCACCTGCTCCATGGGAGAAAGATGGGCAGTAAAGGTTTACCGCTTTAAAAAGTCCCAAGAAGAATACTGTAAGTCACCATTGGCTGGTCTCAATGGTAGTACGTATGGATACAGGTATGAGTAGAAGTTGTACATCCTCAGAACCTGGTACAGTGCCTGATATATAATTGACGCTCGATAATACACTTGCTGCGCTACAGCGGCTTAGTGGTAAAACGCTGTGCTGCAAACCCAAAAACACATGGCTCTAATCTACCAGCTGCTCCCCAGGAGCAGTGACGAGCAGTTTCTTTCCATGGCAACTGCTCCTTCTGAAAACCCCCTGGAGTACCAGGTATGAATGGCTGATCATTCGGCAGTTACATGACAATGACAATTCACTTAGTAAATGAGTGCAAAGTGTCCCAGAGTGTAAAGGAAGGGAAGAAAGATACTGGTTAGACAGGTGGACTGAAGGACATGATGAGATTTTACAAAAATAAATAAACCTAAAATGAGATTAAGGAACCTTGATGACACAGAGGTTACGTCTTGTCTGCTGACTGAAGAAGGGATTCAAACCTACTAGCTGCTCCACAGGAGAAAGACGTGGCCATTTGTTTCCATAAGGAAGATTAAAACCCATTTCCAATAAGCCAATCCTTACTTATGCTGACATAAGAAAGAATAGAACTGCTCTGTAGTATTTTCAAGGCTGCAAATCTTTACAGAAATAGGCTGCCCTGACCTTTTAGTTGATGGCTGAGCTCTTAAGTACTGGACCACCAAGAGGCTCCTCCTGTAAAGATATTCTCTCTGTCTCTGTCTGTTTCTCTCTCTCTCTCTCTCTCTCTCTGTGTGTGTGTGTCTCTCTCTCTCTCTCTCTCTCACACACACACACACACACACACACACACTCACACTCACACACACACATTGCTGTCGGTCAGAATTGATTCATATGGAACCCTCTGGTGAGTTATTAGAGGCTATATGAAATGATCAAGGAAGCATTAAAAGAAGATGGAAGGAGTATACAGAGTCACTGTACCAAAAAGAATTGACTGACACAAGAAATTCATGAAACAACATATGATCAAGAGGCAACGGTGATAAAGACGGAGTTCAAGCTGCTCTGAAGGTACAGGCAAAGAACAAGTCCCTAGGAATTGACGGCATACCAGTTGACATATTTCAACAAACAGATGCTTCCCTGGACATGGTCACTAGGTTGTACCAAGAAATGTGGACAAGTACTTGGAAAACTGACTGGAAGAAATCATATTTATTCTTATCTCCCAAAAAAGTGAAAATTACCAAACAATGTCACTAATATCACACATAAGCAAAATCCTGCTGAACATTATCTAAAAACAAGTGGAACCGTGCACTAACAGAGAACTACCAGGAGTACAACCTGGGTTAAGAAGAGATCATGGCATTAAAGACATTAACGCCAATGTCAGATGGATCTTGGCTGAATGCAAACAGTACCAGAGCAATGTCTAAGTGTGCTTCATTGATTTTGCAAAGGCAGTCGACTGTGAAGATCACAACAAAAATTATGGCTAACTTTGAACATGGGAAGCCCAAAATATTTGATGGTGCTCATGTGAAACCTATGCTTGGACCAGGGGTCAGTTGTCAGAACAGAGCAAGGAAACACTGCATGGTTCAAAATTAGGAAGGGAGTGTGTCAGGAATGAGTCCTGTCTCCATGCCTTTTCAATCTGTATGTGAAACAGATCATTCAGGTGGCTGGACTTTATGAGGAAGAGTGTGGTATCAGGGCTGGAGAAAGACTCATCAACAACCTGAGTTATGCAGGTGATATAACCTTGCTTGCTAAAACTGAGGACCTGAACTGTTTGCTGAGAAGGTCAAAGACTGTAGTCTTCAGTATGAAATGAAGGTAAACATCAAGAAGACAAAGATTTTGACCACTAGGCCACTATGATGGATAGAGAAGAGATTGAAGTTGTTAACAATTTCAGCTTGCTTGGGTCCATTTCAGCATGTGTGGGTCCATAATCAACACTCTTTGTACCAGCAGTCAGGAAATCAAAAGATGAATTGCACTGGAAATATCTGCTGTCAGGGACCTCCCCAAAGTTCTAAAGAATAGTGATGTCAGTCTAGAGACTTAAAGTGCACCTTATCCAGGCATGGTCTTTGCAATTACAAGCTATGCATCAGAGGGCTGAGCAACAACTAAGGATGTCAGAACTTATGTCTTTGCGTTGTGGTGAAGAGCATTGAACATACCAAAGAAGAGAACAAAGAGGTTTGTCTTGAAAAGCATGAAACCAACTTTCTCCTTGGAGGCAAGGATTTTGAAGCTCCTTCTCACATACTTTGGGCACGTGGCCAGGAGGAACCAGTCCTTGGAGAAGGACATCATGCTTGGAAGCATGAAGGACAGTGCAGAAGAGGAAGACCCCTGATGAGATGGATTGACACGGTAACTGGGACAATGGGATTTGGTGAGGCAGAGGCAGTGAGACTGGCTCAGGATAGGCAGGGTTCAGATCTAACGTTCATAAGGTCACTATGAGGCACAGGGGACTCGATGACACATAACAACAACATAAACTGCATGAGAGGAGACTACCTATCTTTATCCCTTGGGGTAGCTGGTGGATTTGAACTACCAGTCTTTGGACTGACAGCATAGCTTTTTTTACCCTGTAGGCCTCCAGAGGTCTGGAAGACTGCCAGGTTAGAAGTTTTATGAGGCCATTCAAGTCTGTTCTATAAGGTCACTATGAGTGAAAAATCAATCAGCTTGTTTGCAATGGCGCTGAGTTAAGAGGAGGCATCCTGAACTGGAGTCAACAAAAGTCCTCATGGATTCCTGGTGAAGGAATCTTGAGATTGTAGCTTCAACTCAACAACTGAAAAACAGGCCACATTACTTCTCTTTGGTCTTCTCTCTCACAAGTCATTTTTTTCAGCTCAAATTTTATAACCTTCTCCTTCTCACTCACAAATACAGTCCACAATTTCTTTTGTTGTCATAGTTCTCAAATCACTTTTACCATAAAATTCACAAAGTAGTGGCTCCTGTGGTTGCGTAGGTCTTACACTGCCAATTTTTCCATTCTAAATAGCTTAGCTCTTAGTCTGGCAGCCTCATACATGAATCCTTCCTTTTTAAGTGATAGATATAAAATCCCGCTGACTCTCTACTTCACCAAGCATGACGTCCCTCTCTAGGGAGAGCAACTGAGTATTTCACCACTAAGCTACCAGGGCTCCTTCAGTGCCGTGTGGCTCTTACTAATTATTACAGTCATAGAAACTAGCTCAGCTGCCAGCATATCATATACACTTACTAGAGGAATGAATAGTATAAGTAAAGGCAAAGGTTCCAAGATATCAAATATCCTATCAGCCATTTCTCCAGAAAAAAATGCTGTGATTTTTTTTTTTTTGGTCAGCTTTTATTGTGATTTGTGTGTCAGTTTATAGAACAGATTGTGTTTTCATTCAGTCACTCATACACATTTTGTTTTACAGCATGGATGAAAATACCCAGGTTTTAACAGCATCCTTCCCACCTCCTACCTATGATTCCTGTTTTCATTCATCTTAATTTTTCTAACACTTC